AAATCCTGGAAAGTAGGCCTCATCAGCGTGGCTGGGTAGTTGGATTCAGATACCAATGAGTCTTTGAACTTTTGTGTGTGGAAATTCCTTGTGTTTCCAGTTCTGTACAGCTCCACAGCTCGTTATTTCAAAAAGAGCAGAGGCGGCTGCAGTGCCTAAATTGTACTTTAAGGCAAAGGAGGGTCAATAACAATTCAGAACACTTCATTGAGGCCAACCGTTTTTCAGTTTACTTTTCTTTGAAGTCTTTTCTGGACAGCAAGAAAGTAGGATTCAAAACAAGTGTTCCAAATAAGAAATTACCAGTGGACTTGTACACTTTTAATCTTACTTTACCCAACTTAAATTGTATTCTGCAGTATATATTCAGGTGTTCCTTTGGCTTCTTTCTAATGCTCACCTGCATCCCATAGATGGGAACACAAATGGATCAACATAAAAACCTAAATCCTTTTCAAAGTGATCTGTCTTTTTAAACCCTGTCAGTGAACCCCCCAGGCTTAATGCCTTGCTAACCATCAAAAAGCATTTCAGAAGGAATCTCCTTTGTTCTCTTAATTGGTTATCTGTGATTGTTTACTTTTAAGTTATGCTTTGTGTCAGAGCAAATGAAATCCAATCTTCTCCCGAGTGTTGAGACCTGCACTTGTGATTAGTTTGTTTTCATGTTATTCAACATTATTATTATAAAACATTTATAATAATCCCATCTGAATGCCATCAGTAGTCATGACACGTTTTGTTTACTTCAGCAATCCCAGAATGCTTCAGTTTCTGTATGAATTTAAAATGGACAGAATAAAAAAAAACATGCACTACACATAAATATATGTGTGTGAATTGATAAAACAGCTAATTTAGCTTAGCCCCATCCCCAAGCTATCATTTTAAATGTAGTTGGAGTTACTTAAGTCCTTACCTTCAAACAAAGTTAACAGAACCAGAAACCTTTCCTTTTAAAAATGACAGTTGACTTGAAACAGTACTCTTTAAACTGTGAAATAGAACAAAAGCAGATGGACTGATGGTAGCTCAAATACTGTACCTAGGGGAAGGAAACAGTTTGCTGTTATGTCTGAAATGTTAAGTTTGTGAATGTCAATGGAAATAGTATTTTTGAATAGGCTTGTTTCTGTCATCAAGAGAACAGAGGGTTATTTCACAATTAAATATATATTTAAAGTTGTACCTGTTTCCCTTTAGTGATGAGCCTGCATTAAAAGATGGTTAATGTTTGTTCAAAAGCCAATATAATAACTTAGTCAAAGATAATTTTCTTCCAAGGAAGTGAGATGAGAGGCTACAAATTAGCTTTGGTAACAAAGATGCTATAGAGTCCTTCACATGTTTTCGTCTTTGTGCAGTCTAGTGGCGTTCAGTGTTTCTAGTTGTCTGTAAAGATCTTTTGTGTCCATCAGAGTGACGGATGCACCGAGACTTAAGATCATCAAAAGGTTCTTCAAACTGTCTCTGACAGGTTTTAACCAGGTAACAGAAAAAAATGCTGTTTCTCCTTGTTAATCATTTAAGAGGATAGCTCTAGTAAGGACTTGAAACAAATCCAAGTATTGATGGAAACAAAAAGTACTCTAATTATAACTGAGACTGTGCCCTGCAGTTTTGTGCTTACAAAGGTGCATATTATCCCTTATATAATGGTTTTATTTGAAGAAATGATCAGGTAAGATTAAAATGTAATCTGAAGTAGACATAGCTTTTTTCTTGTGGTACGCGTTTGATATTTTTGTATCATTTTTTTCATCATATTCATTGATTGAATGTGATGAGAACTGGCATGTGTTGGACTTGCCAAGTTTTTTAAAAAGACCATCAGTTTATAGGGTTAAGAGAATGAGTAATGTCTATAATAGTTGTGAGTCTTATTGTCTGTTGTGAAATCAAACAAGCAGAGACATCAGATTTTCCTTGGCTGCCAATTTCCAATGATTCTACCTCAACCTTCAAAGGTTTTGGCCAACATTGGAAGTAAGTCTGTTGCACTACTCGTATAAAACCCAGATCTAAAAGCAGTATCATAGATGAGGTCACAACTGAAAGACTATACTGTAATATTGCCTTTCTTGACTGGAATATTACTGTACTTAGGGCAAAGGATTATACTTAATCAAGCTTTTCTACACTTTAATATTTTACTGTATTATAAAATAGTAGTTATCCATTTCAAAATGCACTCTTGTATGTATATATTACAATGTCTTTAATGTATAAATGTTCTGTTGTCACAACTCTTCATAATTGAGTAAGATTTTTTAGTGGCATTCTAAAAACTTCAAATTCATCCAGATCAAGAAATCAAGTGTTTGCATAATTAAACACCTAGAACTCTTTCTTTAATTAGTGTTGATGAAAGTATAGCTGAATGCTGGTTTTCTGTTTGATTTTGCATACTTTTACTGGAATTCTAGACCGCCCTGGTTCAAAGATCCACCTGGTACTGTAATGCTAGCACAAACAAAATCTTAACTATGATTAATTCTGGGATGTGGTAGATTAATCAAAGAAATCTCTGCAAACGAATGATCAGCTGCTAAGTCCACCTAATTGGCAGCTCTCAAGATAAAAGGCATGCTTATGCATTAAGGAATATTTAGAAACACCTCTCTGGCAGAAGAAGGCCAGTGTCTCCTTAAGTGTTAGCACAGATTATCATCTGGTGAAGGAAAATACAGTTCAAGTGTGAATACATTAGAAAATACAGAGGCATAGACCATGCCTTACAATGAAGAGTTCTTCATTCTAATAGATGCTTGGAGATGTGACACAGGGCAATACTGGTCATTAGCCTGTCATAGACTAAAAGGCAGACAAATAAATCACACAGTCCACAAGTGTTTTCATCATAGGTGGGCTCTGTGGAAATATTGGAAGGTGATCAGAGATGGGTTGGTCCTACCAAGGAAGGATAATTAAGATAAAGTAAAAAGTTATTGACAGATACTGTATAGGTATAAACATAAATACGATAAACTGATTTAGGTACCAAGCACTATGTTTCTTCAAAACGTACAAATATAAATACATTAACTGCAGTACGAAACATATTAATCCAGTTGTCTCAACAAAATGTCCAATGGAAAGATAGTTTTTGATGCAACTAATTTTGTTTTCAACATTTGTATCCTTTTTTTCCCCCCTAGTAGGCCACTTACAAGCAACTCTTTAAAGTTCTGGAAAGTTAAAGTTCCTTTTTGTGAAAGGGAAACTGTGCCACAAATTAGTTTTTAATAACTTCCAACATGAGGAGCTGTTCTCCACCTACGAATATGTGTCCAAATATTTAACAAGATGTCTAAAATAAATGTTTTTTTTTTCTTTTCGGGGGACAGGGTGGGATATGTTGGAATGAAATAAGGGCTGTAGAAGGTCTGATTTCCATGTTATGAATAGATGGACTCTGGCAGTCCCTGAACGTTGTTTTGCATATAAATGGAGTCCCTAAATACCTCACTGTAATGATGAAATGTTCAGTGTCTCTGCATAAAATAGTGTCTCTTTTCAGCTTCCAGTCTGCATTGACCAGACTGTGTGAACTAGCTGTTCTTTCTACCACTTCCTTGCCAATTAGTCAGGAGCGAAGAGAAGCAGGGGCATGAGATGAGGGAAGCTGTTTTATTAGCTTGTCCTTGTTTTTGCATGACTGTATGTGGTGTGCATTTCATTGACCTTGTCCAGGGACTGTATGTGTGAATATTTAGTTTTAGAGTTGAAATTTGTTTTCTGCCATACCTGATAATAATGCCCATGCAGCATTCAAGTTAGTGTGGGGTTTTTTATTTGATTCATTTCTTGAAAAGGATTATTTTTCTAAAGGTGTTTCTCATTTAATCTCTCTTTTATTTTATTTTTTGTTGCACATGGGGGTAGGTCTCTGGATTCATTACCAGGTGGTAGTGCATCCCCAAGATCCCAAATGCATTTGAGTAAGGTGCCTCAGTGCTGTTCCTCTAGTCAGCTCAGATATACATGAGTTTTGCTTGTTTCCCATACATGCACAGTGAATTCTAAAAACTGCCTGATGATTATTCAATGCCAAGGGATTGTCTTCCTTTAACAACCAGTAGGTTCATAATGCCAGACAGAGAATGCCAACTTTAAAACCTGTTTGTAATTATAAAGGTTAGTGATAAGATGTGGAAATATTTTCTTTCAAGGCTCCTGTAAACAGAAAGTGAACCAAAGGCCCTTTAGGTTAAAGCAACAGGTGTGTTGAAAGAGCAACAGTCTTTCCTCTGTAAGATTCAATTGTCATGCCTCATTTAAACTTCTCTTCAGATAGCAGAACTACATATTTGCGGTTGAGTAATTCTTAGTGGATATCTACTTATCCTGTTATTTTTATATGACATTATTTCTGTAGTGATAGATGTTTTAGTACTGCATTTACTTTCCCTTCTTATTTTTCTGTCTCATACATGTGTACACAAAAGCGTAGGATTTTAGTTTTCTAGTTTTAGATGTACCCCACTCACATTTTTGTGCTGTACTATGCTCAGATTAATTAAAGATGACGAGGATATTTGTTATTTGCCTTGCGAACCAGACTGGTGTGCAAGGATCCCATCTCTGTAATCTGTTAATTGCTTTACTTTTTCCACAGTTGTTTTAATCCTAAAACGAACATGGTCTTGTAACACTCTAATGCTTATATTTTTATAAGTCTTATAACTGTAGCTGTGTTTTTCACTTTCAGTAGGTGGCAATTATTTTAATCTTCAAGGGCTCCAATAAATTGGGTGTAGTTAACAAAGTAGTTAATAAATTGGGTGCTGTTTTGCAGGTAACAAACCCCTATATGTTGAAATTGCACAAATAAGAATGACTTCCTTTTGTTGTATGTTATATTTGTCATTAAGAGTTTCCTGGAGGATTGTAATTGAAATTTCACTTTAGATAGCATTTTGTTGGAAAGGTTACTATAGTGTTAAGGACTTAATGATCTCCAAACTGTACTTAACATCTCTGCTTGTGTTTCCTTTCAGATTGTGCTTGTGAGGGATATGTTTTAATTAAAGTTCAGTGCTGGAAGTACAAGGGATGAAATGCCTCTCTAACAGAACGTTAAAGACAAATGGTAAGAAATGCTTTCATCTCCTATGTCTATAGCAACTTCTAACCGTGAATAATGGTTTTTGACACCAGTTGCAAAAACAGTGCAAAAAGAAACAATATTTCTTCATAAGCACCATTATTGTAACAGTATATGTATATATGCCAATGTCAGAGGAGGTGGAGGGGACTCTAACATGAAAGGTGGATATTAGGCCTGTATGAATGTCTCCACCCATGTTTGATGTCCCATTACATTGTCCATAAATAGGCTGGGTACAGTAGTTGTTCTTTTGCTTCACGCACAACTGGAATTTGTTGCATTATTCCCTCTGCAGACTTTTGCTCCTGTAGACCATGAACTCGTCATGAACATCTGACCACCCGATGCTCATTACTCTGTTTATTATTGGAATATTGCAGCACCGAGGTGAAAAGTAGAACTTATGCCTCAGGCCAGGAAGTTACTGAAATGTGTTAAAAAGTCAATGTAGTCTCTAAATGTCTGTGTTGAGTAAATTAACCACCCCCTTCCCATTTATAAATACAGATAAAGATTTGGACTCATTTGTTTTCTTTCTGAAAGTGATAATGTACAAGTGTAAAATTATAAATGGCTCCTAAGATCTGTGATTTAGTAATTAAAGTAAGAAAATTAGAGATATTTATACTTAACATTTTTTAACTTTGTTGTTAAGCCATTTTTAGTGCTACATCTGCTTGGAACAGATAGACTTAGTTTATGTACAGTATTACATGATTTATCTTTTCAATTGTTTGAGTTCATTTTTTGCTTGATCCTAAATGTTGGCACTTCAGTTCGCCAAAATGTAACTTAGACCTTTCCTTATCATTATTGTGATTGCCATTGGACTTTTTAAAAACCATTCAGTGCCATTACGCTGAAATGTGTTATTAAAAGGGACTGAGAGCTGAAGCCCCGTATGGCTTGGATTTTGAAAACTAGTGGAAGTGATTGTGATCTCCTCACTCAACACTCATTGGGTATTGCTCCCTGTCCCCTGCCTGACCTTCAGTCCAGTATGGAATGAATGGTGCAACTGGTGTTGTTAAACAGTGTTGTAATTGTTTCTTAAAGTCTTACACTATTTATTTTTCCACAGCTTACTCAATATCATTTTATGATTTTCATGTTAACGCCAGAGAAAGCTCTAACATCGTTCTTTACACTGCTAGAAATGTTTAATTGCCAAACTGAGTTGGAATGTTTCATCTGGAATCGCCTCTACTGAAATTGGATTTTCATTTCTTCCAGAATGTTCACCATGCCTCCTGGGATGGTCCTTTTTCCTGCCTTGCTGTTTGGGCTCTGGGGTCGCGTACTGAGTGGTTATGACATCTTCACCCGCAACGGTACCAAGTTTGAACATCTGGCCCTACATCCAGACTCCACGATTGGCACAGTCTACGTCGGAGCCACAAACTACCTTTTCCAGTTGAGCTCTGACCTTCAGCTGAAAATGGAAGTAAAAACCGGCCCTGTGGAGGACAGCAAGGAGTGTCTGCCCCCTATAGACAAAGCTTGTACTCACGCTCGCCTGACCAATAACCACAACAAGCTGCTCTTGGTAAACCCCTACAGCGGAGAGCTCATCACTTGTGGCAGCGTCCATCAAGGCATCTGTGAAAAGCGGGGCTTGGATTCCATTAAGAATATCTTGTTTCGGACAGAGCGGCCAGTGGACACCCAGTACGTTGCCGCCAACGATCCCAATGTGACCACAGTCGGGATGGTGGCCAAATCTAGGGACCAACTTCCTGTCCTGTTTGTCGGGCGTGGCTACGCCAGCAGCCTGCCTCCTATCTCCACCCGCAACCTGGTGTCCAAGCCCATCTTCTCTTACGAGGACACTGCGAAGCTTGCCGTGGCTGGGCGGCTCTCGGAGTACGACCACCACTTCATCAAGGCCTTCTCCCATCGCTCGTCCGTCTACTTCCTCTTCTACCGCAGGGACCTCAAATCTCAGTCTAGGGAATACAAGACCTATGTTTCCCGGATTTGCCTGGATGACACTTCTTACTACTCCTACGTCGAGGTGCCTCTGGTGTGCAGGACGGCGGAGAAAAGGTATAATCTGCTGCAGGCAGCCCATCTGGGCCTGCCAAGCCTGCGCCCGGGTGCCAGACGCCAGGAGATGCTGGAGGAGGTGCTGGTTGGTGTCTTTTCCACCGGAGAGGCGAACACGGGGAAGACGGGCGAAGAGTCGGCGCTGTGCAAGTACACCCTGGATGAGATCAACCGCCAGATCAACAGCACGCGCGACCTGTGCTACACGCGGGACGGTCGCTCCGAGGGAGGTGGTGAGGCAGCGTACATCGAGTATGAGGTCAAGTCCAACTGTGCAAACCTCCCCTTGGTGAGACATCCTTCCATTTTAAATTGGCCTTGCTTGTTAGCTTTGTCCAACAGTCTTTGCGGTTGTGAGTTAAAGCTCATGTAGTAGGCTTCTTACAGGACATTTCATAGGGATTTCTTCCCCAGAGGTAAACTACCATATAGTAAATTTGCTCCTGCCAGGATAGATTTGCGTCATATTACTTGATTAGCTACACTGTTTCAAATGCTTTGCTTTTAATGCACTCACAGCCTTATTTATTCTAGAGTTTAAGGAGGTTAAAGCAACGTTCACATTTTGCAACATAAACAATCTTGCATTTTAAAATAAAGGGTTAGGTACTGATTGGATCAAAAAAAAAATCTAGTTCCTCAGGACAGGAGTCAAGCTTCCAAAATCTATGTACATTCTTTGTAACACAGTAAATGAAATGATACTTCTTTGCCTCTTTGTGTTTAGTAATAGTCTTTACTATTTTTCAGCCTGGTGGCTTAGGTTCACACTTCTTGCATTGGGAAGACAGTTATTTATATCAGTGAATTGAGCAAAACAAAGCAGCTGTACACTGTATTCTCTGAAAATAGACAATTCTCTGAAAAGTCTCTGAAAATAGACAATCGGGGATACCATTTGCCTTTGGAGTTTTTTTTAGCATCTCATTTTTAAGTTCTGGACTGTCTTTCTCTATTATCGCTCCTGTAAAAGTTAAAAACAAACAAACACTTGTTGGCTACCTATGGCAGCGCTATAAGTAAAACTCTTATGTATTTAAAGTGTATATCCTGCTTTGCTAATCTCACAGTGAACAAGTGAAGCATAGTGTATTTAATGAGGATAACAAAGAGATAAATGAGTCTAACTGCCATTACTTGAGAATTGTAAGGTATGTGACCCACATTTCAGGCGTGATTATAACATATAGAGATGTCAACACTCAACTCTTTATTTTATATTGGGAGTTGATCAGGGAGTTGATCTCTCTCAACCTAGAAAGTTAATGAGAGTTTAACAGGACTGACGGAAGAGAGAAGCAAACTGCTTTGCAAAGCGTTACGCTCTTTGTGGTTATCAGCCCCAAAAAAACATATGTGGAACACATAAATATATCACATTTGCGCTTCAAAAAATGACATGATCCTCATTTGGAAGTTAGGGTGTAGTTACGCTGAGCTCTACAAGTTAAATCTGCACTAATGGAAAGCCAGTTTATGTGCAAAGTTAATTGTTATAATCGGTGATGAATCACTGTTTAGCATTACAGTATATGGCTTAGGTAAAATTATACCAGCTAGATTGCTCCCATTAACTGACCAGAAATAAAGAATTCCTAAATATGTCACATTTGTATTGCTATTCAGACGGTGAAAAACACCTTTTTTTGACCTGCAGAACACCCTAGACGCCTACCCCTGCGGCTCAGACCACACTCCCAGCCCAATGGCCAGCCGTGTAGCCGTGGAAACCATGGCAATCTGGGAGAACCCTAAAGCTCGTCTCACAGCTGTGGCAGTCAGTGTGATGGAGGATCACATCATTGCGTTTCTGGGGGATTCCAAGGGAAACTTGCATAAGGTAATTCGTGTGATCTCAGCTTGGTTTTTTAAATGTTTTTTATGCTTGTTTTTTTTTTTTGCATTTGCTTAAGCATCTTGTGTTAAGAGACTTGCTTACTGCTTAATAGAAATAACATTGAGAAATGCTATTCTACCTGGGACAGCGTTCACTTTTTTTTTGTGTTTCCGAGCTCAAATTGCTTTGCCATTGATATAAATCTCAAGTCAAATATAAGCAGGACATGTGGCCTTCCTGAGTGGGTCACCTGGTAAAGTTCCTTGCCTGAGCTCAGATCGAGTTCTGTGATTACGGGTCCGAACCTGGGCCATGCCACATGACTGGGCCATGACTGTGACTGGGAATCCCCAAGCAGGCTGAGTGCTGTCAAGGGTAGGGGATGATTTAGTAGGCTAGTGTTCTCTCCGCTGTCAGCGGCAGGATGACGCCTGTGGTCTCCTAGACATTTGCAAGGCAAGCAGTTCCTCATCAACAGGCGATGAGCCTTCAGTACGGGACTGGGGCGACTGTGGGGTGCTACAAGACAAGTGAGCGGGTTGGAAGAGTCTGCCAACACTTCCTCATTCTCCGCTGTGTGCGGTCAGGGGGTTCATAGTTAGGGCTGAGACTTGAAAAGCACATAATAGGCTGTCCAAAACTGGGTGGGTATAACAAAAATAACTGGCCATTCTATATTTGAAATATACAGTAAATGGGCAGGATATTTCTGTCATCTAACATTGTAATAATAGGTGTTGCTTATTCATGATCTTGTAGGCTCCTAGTATTTTTTTTTTAGCGAACAAGATTTAGTTCAAGTTCAAGATCTAGACCTCGTTCCTTCCTTCATTAAGAACAGCACAGGAGAGGTTACAACTTTGACTTATTTTTTTTACTTAGTTTATTCGTTCAGAATTCTCTGCCTATAATGACATTTCTCTGTAATATTCTAGTCTTCAGTATACATGCTCCTTGCTATTCCCTTTGTCAGTCTAATCGATTCTGGCTGGGGAAACGCACAAACTGTGCACATTTGCAAAACAATAAACCTATTATACGTCATTTATAATTTACATTTCACTGCAGATTGGAAACAGCTGGTAGTTACTTAAAGATTCTATAATGGAGTTTGTCCCATTTACAGGCTGATATGAACTATGGTAAAAATATGAGTTCTTACACGGGGGCCTGACCTAATTGAATCAGATATAGAAGCAATAGAAGTCAATTTATATTTATATTTTTTTATTTTTTGCTGAAGGTTAAGGCTCCTTTATAGTAGAAGGTTGCTTGGTTATGTCCCACCTGCAGATAGTGTAACATTACTTGATTCTATGGAAACTAGGATGAGCTCTGGGCTGATGAGCCTCTAGGCTCTAGTGTGGACGTCACTTTTTTAATTTAGGTAAAACAGAATAGTTTTCCAGCATTAGGGTCTGAGTGGCATGCTTCTACTGGACAACTGAAATACTTTAGTTTGTCACTTAGGCCATTAATAACCATACCTGTGACCTGTGGCCGAAGAGAAAACCTCAGTCAATGAGCAAATAGTTCTCCTGTCTCCTGACCAGATTAAATGGCTTTTGCTGGCTCCTCTTTAATGATCTTGACACTTCTATAAGAGTCTTGTTTTCTGATGTCTGCAATGGATGTAAAAAATGCTAGCATTATGTATTGATTTTAAAACTGCAATAAAGCCTACACAATTGCATTTTTTATCTTTAATTTTGTTTGTGTGACTCATGTAGTACATTTATGCTAAAGAAATTCATCTTGGGATTGTGAGCCCCATGAACAAAATGAATGATGACATAGACTGGTGATAATTTCTTAGAAGAGCATCGATATTTGTTTTAGAATCCCATCGACCCAAGCAGACTGGCTTTTCAATGCATTTTCTATGTTTCTAAGTCAATGGAGCCTGTAACTACCCTTTGCTAAGGTCACAGAAAGTGGCACTTGTAACAATATCTGTCTTGGTTGTCTTAGTTAGGGACTTTATACTATACTTAGGAGGTGTGGGAAGCAGGAAATTACAGAACTGTCAGATGGGATTGGAAAGCGAGGGAGTGCAGACGGGGGTTCTATTAAAGTTAGACCTTGGACCTCACCCCCTTGAGAATTTTAGTTTGTCTGTGTAAAGTTTTCTTTAAGTGGGTGGAGGATGGGGTGTTGTGACCTTTGAATTAAAGAAAAACAAGTTTATGTCAACTAATCTTATCAAAATTCTTTCAATATTCCACATAGCCTCTTTTAAATTGTATCTTACATTATTGTTTGGTGATGCTATAAAGGCAATTTTATATTTCAGTGCCACATTTAAACATTCACTGGAAAAAATCATCTCCTGGCCTTTCATCTCCTGCCAAACAGCCTCATAGAAGTCATGATATGAATATTATTTTGCTACTGGGAACTTTGGGAAGTCTTTGTGTGGCAAGTCATGAACATCTGTAAATGCATCTGTAAATATACTATCAAGTTGCTCTCAGGACCCTCATTATGCAAAAAGCAATTAAGAAGCTCCACATATCCCAGTGGCAGTATAGCATACATTTTCCTTTACACATGAAATTTCAATATGTGAAATTAAATTACATTAGAATGGATGGGTAATGTTCTTTCATGTTCAGCAAAGAAGAAAGTAAAATGTTTCAATGTCATTATATCATGGCATTGTTTATATATTTATTAGCTAAATTTCACATTGTGCAATTCCAAAAAGCCAGATTTTCTACCTGCTCTCAGAATTACATTAATACAGGACAACTGGCCTCATATTGTACCCAGAGAAGCATTTGATTCCTGTGAGAAAATTGATTTTTCCTTTCTCTTTTGTCAAACATTCAATAACCGTTGTGCAACTTTTGAAATGGATGTAAAGTGTCACCTCCTCTGAAGTGGTGCCTCCAGTAATTGAACAGGAAATAAATAGTTTCAGATTTATAAAAATAATTCTAATTTGATTGCCTTAAAATTATCGCTCATAAATGGAAATGTGAGGTTAACTGAATTTTCAGCTCAGTTTGTGTTTTAAGAAGAAATTAAACCCGAACTGGAGCATAAAAATAGTATTGATTTTTTAAAAACCATGTCCTGTCAATCGAATTTGGGAAAATGTCTGGTAACAGACTTAATAAGCCTTCTTTAACTATGGCTAAAGGTTTTGAGCTTTGCCAAATCTTTCAGATTTGCAAACTAGGCTTGAAGAAAGTAACAGAGCATTTACAGGTATCTCACAAGCCAGAATGTGAAACTTTGGATTACAGACAAGCAATGAAAACAAGGAAGCAGACAAACCTATGTTGCAGATTGAGTATAGCCATTACCCCCAGTAGCGACCGAAAGGAGCTCCATACTTTTCAGCCTTTGTTTTATAAAACAAAAGAAGAAAATGCACTCGCACAAACATCGAAGCCAACAGATTAAAAGCTGATCCCTGTGTTATTTATGAACACTAACCAAAAACCAGGGTTTTAAAATGAACCATTTTTTTTTAAATTAAAATGAACAATAACCTAATTGAATTTTCATAACCGCATGCCCCCTGACGCTGACTTAAACTCTGCTGGTGTGGCTTTAGAAACCTTATTCAACTAAGATTAAATCTGACATGTTTGTACAGCAACAGGTTTCCAAATCAAATGTTATTTTTAAGCAAGGTCAGTCCAGAACAACATTCAGAGGGTATTTCATGGCAAGCAGCCATTTTCCTTGTTCTCATGAACTTGGGAATTCTCCTGAAGAATGCAGTTTGCATTGGTCTTTTGTAGTTCAGCAGATTGACAGGGCACAGCAGAACAAAAGGGCAAAATTTGCACTAAACTTTGCCTCTCAGGGAAACACAGCATGTTCAGGGAGTGAAAATATATTTTTAAACATCTGTATAGCACCGCACTGTTGCAGATATAAGTATGTGTACCTTGTTTATGTCATTCTCAAGGAAACGTTACATTTTCTGCTTCAATGAATGAGGTTTCATTCATAAATTGGATTTGCTTCACAGAACCCCTTCAGCTCCGAGTTTAGAGAAAATGTATCTGAAGAACATAACGTACTGAAAGAAGACCTGCACGCAAGTGGTGATAGCTTAGCCCACTATGCCCATTTTCTTTTGGCAGATAAAAGGACAGATTAGTTGCTGTGATTGATTCTTAAAGGACTATAGAGAGAGCCATGACTGTATATTTCTAGACACGTCTTATGAAGGAGAATTCTTTGTTCAAATAAAGTCCTTTTATTTTTTTCAGGTGTTTCTGGACGCCTCTGGGAAAGCTGAGAAGTATGCCACAATAACTATCCAACCCAATGCCGTCATTGGCAGTGACCTGCTACTGGACCAATCACAGGAGTACCTGTACATCATGACCAATTCACTGGTCAGTAAAGCCACCGTTGCATATGCAGTGTGGGGGTCTGTTATTGTAAACATGCATTGTGCTTCTATTCCCAAGAAGTTACACCTCATTGGAATGTACTGTCAGTCGCCAATTGATATATTCCTTCTAACAATTTTCATTGTTATAACAAATTGTTATAACATTGTTATAACAAAGTTTCATAATAACGATGGTATGAGCACTTAATGTGCTTTTAACCAAGTTATTTATGTATACAAGTTATGTTACTAGTTATTCAAATGAACAACAAATTGAGTTGGTCGTGACGACACCTTGGTGGACTTTGTTCATCTAAGCCAGCGATTCCCATCCTTGGGGTTGCAATTACACTTGGGGTCACAATAAGAAAAACAGCATGTTTGATATGTTGTTTGGGAGATCAAAACCCTAATCGCAGACTGAGCTGCATGCTGAGCATAATTGTTTAGTTTATTGCTTATTGGTTTATTTTATATGTAGTATAGCACTGTTTTTTCTGGTCCTGAACTTATTTTTAGTCTTCTGTACAGTATAGGCCTTCTCTATGCATCATTTTAGGTTTTCATAGAATTCCTAGATTCAGTTGTGGGCTTACATTGAGGTAGAGGTTGGCGTGCTCCAATCTATATTAAAACGCTTGTGCGATATACAGTACGTTAACGTAACATTCTTTCAAAGAATTAAGAGCAGTGGATTGCATTACATTAAAAAGAAAGCAAAATGACTCACTTTAGATTTACAAGATATTAACTTTAAATTTGTTTTCTTCTTCATGTGCTTTTAGATAGAAAAGCGGCCGGTTGCAGAATGTTCAAAGTACCTCGACTGTGAATCATGTCTTTCTGCTAATGATCCCTACTGTGGCTGGTGTGTTCTAGAAGGAAAGTAAGTTTATTTAAACATAAAAATGTTTTTCTTACCAGTGTCTGAATAGTAATGCAACTAGTGGCTTACTAATGGTGGACATCGCCATCTAAGAATCAGTTGTTTTGCGAATGTTTGAGTTTTTAAGTATAATACGTTTTGGCTTCACTCGCTTAGTTGAGTGGTAGCGTCCCGGCCATAGGACGAGGATTACACCACCAAAAAAGAAACGCTGGGGAGAGTTTGCTGAGAGGAGGGGAACTAGGGGGCCAAATTGGACACGGGGAACAGAAGCATAAGAGAGCAGAGAACAACAAGTGGTCCACATATTCAGAGTGAAAACGCGAGGCGAACGCAAAACAAGGTTTTTATTTTTTGTTCCGTCTTGTTCGGTTGTTTTCTTTAGATTTCTTGTTTTCGCTTTCTTGCTTGTTTTTGGAAGTATGGTCCACATATAAAACGAATGCCAGAGGAAGTGAGCAGACCCAACTAGCAGGTTTTTATTTCATTCTGTCTTGTATTCCCTTTACTGCCTGTTGTCTGAAACGCGGTCCACTTACTGAAAGGGAAAAAACGTGAGGCGAGTCTGAAACGAGAAACCATTTTTTGTTTCGTTCCGTCTTGTCGTCTCTTTCCTGCTTGTTTGAAGTACAATCCACAGAATTTATGCGAAAAATGCGAGAAGAGGTGTGCGCAAGAGCGTTATATATAGTGAAAGTCCGTAATAATTCCCATAATAAACAGCTGGATGAGATTGGCTTTTCTGTTATTATCCCTCACAAACAACAGTTCAGAACGTCCATTTACTGCTATAGTTTCAATAAATCTATGTAATATTTCCTTTTCTTATAACTGTTGCCCTCCCTCCATTCAATAAATTATTTCTTGTCCATGAATTTTAAACAGATTGTAAGAATGCTATTTCTCAAGAGTAGGCTTTCCAGCACTGTCTCAAATGCTTCATGAAGCAGTTTCTTAAAGGATCCAGATTCTAGATCTACCAAAATGCTCACTAGCCTGTCATCCCGGTAGCTCATTTCAGTTTATTTTTTTCTTTTTTTTAAGTAGCTGAACTAGGCACCTGAGTGCTTCCAAGGATAGCTTCATGTTGACAGTCCATGAAGAGTCCAATAACACTTAAACGGAGCGGTGTCCTAAAATTTAGGCAGAGCGGTGGCTAAGGATCTGCGCCTGTGACTGGAAGGTTGCCAGTTCAAATCCCACAGCCGGCAGAGGAATCCTACTCCGTGGGGCCCCTGAGCAAGGCCCTTAACCCCAACTGCTCCAGGGGCGCCGTACAATGGCTGACCCTGCGCTCTGACCCCCAGCTTCTCTCCCTGTCTGTGTGTCTGTGTCTCAAAGATGAATTCCTAATGCAAGAAATTGTATAGGGCTAATAAAGCAACATTAACACATTACATTAAACCGACTCCTTCCGCCTCTTGTTTCTCTGCGGCAGGTGTGAAGGTCGGTCTGACTGCTTGAGGGCCGAGGTTCCTGGCCAGTGGCTCTGGAGCTACAGCTCAGATGAGCAGTGCCTGAGTGTCCAGTCCCTCACCCCATCCAACATCAGCCGTGAGGAAAAGAGAAGTGTACGGACTGGGGGGGATCGAAGGGAAGACAATGGGATTGGGAGGTTGGGGAAGGTCGCATACTGAACTGGAGACTGAGCGGGAAGATTTCAGATTAGTAATCGGAGGTTGGGGAAGGGGAGATGTGTGGCTTTGCATTTCAGGATTTCCATGTTCCTCTGAGCCTTTCTTTCTCCTCTCTTACAAAATTACATTTGTTACAGGACTGTGCTGTGTTTACAATGCAATCATTTAATAAATACCCAAAATATTTATTTATTTCATTTGGAAGAAACTGTGAAAGAGCATATTCGGTAAAGTGAAGATGTCTCCCATAATTTATTTGAGGCCTTCTTCCAGCCTCCTGCATTCAAAGTTAGGACTTTAAGGTAAAATTGTATAAATATGGGAAGTCCAAAAGACATACATGTGGTGTGCTTTCCTGACAGCATGAAATAAACCAGTCTTCACGCCCTCTCCCCAGATATTCCTGTCTATTCCACATCTGCCTGCCCTAGTTGAGGAGGAGTCTTATTCCTGCTTCTTCGAGGACAGCGAGAGCCCAGCTGTGCTCACCGAGACCGGTGTCACCTGCTCATCCCCGGATGCCAACAAAGTGCCACCTGTGCGTCCGGGCGAAGGTGAGCTTAACCGGCGGGAAAGCAGGGCGACGGCAGGGGGCGTCTAGGACACTCTACAGCCAGAGAGGACGCTTTTAATGGGAGAGGTTAATTGAAACAAAGAAATGTGTATGTGTGTTTTCAGTTAAAAGCGGCCTTAAAGTAGCATGGTACTCAAAACCATCGATTTGACCTGTGTGCAATATGATTTTTTGTGACCTATTTTTGGACACTCTATATAAATGACCAGCATTATCCTCCTGGCACTGATGTAACCCACAGCTATAAAATCAACCCAGTCCGAGGGATGTTTATGGTATTTTTGCTGAAATATATTATTGATGTCAAAATATTTTATCTTTGGTCCGTACCTTCTCTTCTCTGCCCATAAATAAATTTCCCCTGTATTAGTTTGAGACATTACATGTACTTTTACCAGTAGTTATAACAAAAGCAGTTTTTTTCTTTATTAAGAGGACAGATATTGTTGAAAGAATCTCAAGAATTTAAAATAAATATCTGAGTCTTTGAAAGCATAGACTGGATGACGTGCTCTGAAATTCCCTACTGCAAAGCATTTTTCCCATGAATCAAGTATAAGTCCAGACATTTTATTTGTTTGTGTAATTCTGCTATCATAAGCTCAGTACTTGAATTTTTCAGATGGTTTTCGCCTTTGTTGCCTGTTTCTCACAGCTGTTGAAACAATGGCAGTAAATATTAGGATGTGTGTTGAGGTCAGGTTACATAGAGGGCATTTAAAATGCAGTGGACACATAACACAAAAGTGTGTCTTTTTCATTTCTGTTTTGCAAACAGATGGCACTTATTTCCTTTTGGAAATTAATTCAGTGTAGCATACATACTCTTTCCGATCTGTTTCTTAGTTTAGTGATATCAAAATAAGGGTTCAATCTCTAAAAATGAATGCTAAGTGCTTTAAAGTTCTACACAAATATTTGGAAATTATTTGAAAATGAGGAGCACTGTAATGGATTTGCAGAAAACTGACTACACTAAAAGTCATAGAAAAACACCTCCAATATATTGCAATAAATTATACATCAAACAAGTTTTCCTTCATGAGGATATTATTTGAAATTCTCAAAGCATAAGCTACAGGAGTTAAAAATGTAGTTTTGCTTTTTATCCCATTTGAGTAAGCCTAGGGCAAGATGCAACACCTTATTGAGATTTTATCGTTAGGAGATTGGAAGTTGATTGCTTTCCTTTCCATGGGTGTCTCGACATATTTGCGTTTTTATTTTTCGCATTTATTTGAAGACTTTCCAGAATTGTTTTTTTCCCATTGAGTTAATAATTCCCTATTCATTATACAGGTGAATTATTTCGAGACAGGTTTAATTTTGAATAGTAAGCCATACCTTTCTACTTCCTCCTACTTAAATATCTGAGGAAATTAAATGGGCGAAGGTGTGGACAAGATAACGGAAAGTTTTTGCTAGAAGTCTTTAAAAAAAACAACCAGCCATCATTGTTAGAAAGCAAAGTAGGCACAAGGAGGGCATTTTCAAAACGCCTTTTCTTATAAAGCAGAAGGCAGATGTCTTTGAATGCGGACCTGGAAGCTCATCTATGCTGTCTTTCCAGATTTTGTCTCCGTCACTCTGTCCCTGCGATTCCTCAATGTCACAGTCACCACCACGAACTTCACCTTCTATGACTGCAGTGCTGTGAAGCAGCTGTCCAGGAATGTGCCGTGAGTTTTCTGTCTCGCTCATCTCCATCTGCATGTGGTAATGTGGCTTTTCTCACGTCCTGCAAAGAAGGCCCCCGAAGCTCCAAGAAAGCTTCAACAGAAAGTGCGAAGTCAGCTGCAGACTTTCTTTAATATATGCTAAAGGGGCGGAGTCTGTACCAGAGCCGCCACGGCTCATTGGGCCAGAGCTCATCCTGGTTTCCATAGCGTTAAGCAGATGAGAGGGCAGGTGGCTCTAACCTTGGATGGACAAACTGTCGTCAGCATTATTGCCACGTTAAAGCTGAGCCTGCTTGAGTAATTAAGAACCCAATGAGCCATTTTTCCCCCTCTAATAAGTTCCATATGGAATATAGATCATGACTTGGGGGGGCCCCACATGGTCTGTAGGTGCTAAGCGATTTATGCCTTTTCCCTCTGTAGATGTCAAGGCTGCGTCAGCAGTCGTTGGGGCTGTAACTGGTGTGTCCATCAGCACCTTTGCACCCACAAGCCCACCTGCGAGGAGGGAGTCATCATTTACAATGAGCACGTGAGTCACTCCTGTCTGTCGTCGGAACCATTGTAGTTGTTTTCAGAACTACTTCTCGTCGAGTTGAAGTCTGACGTTTTTGGATTGTTTAGTTTCGTGGAGGTTTGTCCTCCGTGTCCTATATAATTTTCTACTGTTTTCCTTGCATGGCGTAGAAGCAAGTAAACATTGCTGTAAGGATTATGGAGTTAGTCATGTGCCCTGCATATTTTGTGCAAACAGTAAGACCATATGTTACTTAATGTTTGGGACTGAAATTCTCCTAAGTGTTCTGAAGAGACAGATTGTGAGAAAATACACTTTAAATTATTTACTGTTGTATCATTCATTTCAATCCTTTTTTCACTGCTGTTTCACCCTTCAGTGCTACCCCTATATCTCATTTCTACATCAGTGTTAAAAGCTTGATACATAGTATTGAGGCTATGGAATTTCCTGCATCTTCCTATTGAACACACAATATTGCTTTCCTGTAATTTGATTTTTGGAAGTAATTTCCTGCCTTTTGGAAATGCAGCAAATAGTATTAGATAACATTTTTGGAGTCGAGCCTTGAAGCGATGAGGTACTGTAGGTATTGCAATCATAACATCAGACATTGTACGTCAACAAAATGATTCATAAGAGGTAAACAAGGAGATACTTAACATATTTTACAGCTACAAATGTTAAAATGTTTCCTTGAAAAAAGAGGCACGTACAGGGTAAAATCAGATCAATGGTGCCAACTTTCTGCATGCCATGGATAAATGATACATAACACATTAGCACAGTAATCATTTTCCTAGTTTTTTTTAACATCATTCAAATAATACAGACAAACTGCAACAAGTAACATGCCTTAAATGCATGAAAGTTTAGGACATGATTTAGATTTAGCCCATCTGGGTTGTGGGCAACAGCATATGTGGGAGTCCTAACAGCCCCTAAAAAGAGTTGTGCTTTTGTAGTGGAGGGGTAAAAAGGCAAAGGACACTGGGAAGGAAAGTCAGATGTCCTGTATTGTTACCCTACAAGTCAGGTGATTGGCAGGAACTGGGGCTTTGTCTTTCTCCCTTACTGTACATTAATGAAATACATTTGGAAGACTTTTTCGGATATTTGTTGAGAGCCAATTGAGTTTCTTTTTCATTTATGCTTGCCTGCTTTTCTATTATGGAAATGTTAGAAACTTGCTGTGGCTTTAACTGGACCAATTTTGCAAAAATGGTTTTCCTTAGACTATTAACAGAGTTCTTTTAGCAGTCACACAAAACTGGGAAATATCCATTAACTAAAACAAGTCATTTGTATTACACTTATTATAACACATAAGTGTTCCACTTAGTATTATAAATAAGAATATGGAATCCATAATTTGAGCTATATTAGGGACTCATCCATAGTAGAGTAAGAGTCTAGGGGATAATTAGCATTGATTTAGAAAAGATAGGTTTTCCTTTACTAAATTGTTTTAATGTTTTGAATTCAAACAGCATAATATATTTTGCATTCAGACATTCAAATAACCTTTGGTGATGTTCCTAAAGTTACAGCCAGTAGGCATTCAGAGTGGTGCATGATGGAGAACTAGTTAATTGATTGGAAACAGAGGCAAGACTTTTTTAAGGTAGTGGTTATGTAATATGTATGTTACATCATCGAATTGGACCTTAGATTTTTATCGGTAATGTTTATCATATAGTTAGAAGAAAGGCTTAGCAAATCCAGTAGAGGCAGCAAAGGAAATTTAGAAATTTAGAAAATTCAGACTCCTGGAACCTGGAAGATGGCATTTAATATAGACATGCAGTTAGCACAAATATGTACTTTATGTATAAAACAGGAAACTGAGTTTGAAGAAGCTACTTGTGAAAAAGACTTAAGTGGGTCTGTTGAAAAATTGTTTCCATCTTCTAGACAACATGTGGAAGCGATAAAAAAGGCAAACAGTAGCAGGACTTTATCTAGAATGCTGTTCTGGATTCCGTCCAGGGAATTGTGATCGGATACATTCTTGTGCTTAAAGGAATGTTTTCCACAGACAAGCTAAAATAGCAAGCCCTTTTAGTGAACAGGGAAGATTGAAAAGACTTAAGACAAGTATTCAGAATCCTCAAAGGCACTGGCAGAATGAACAGAATGGACTTTGTCAGGATTAGGAGTGAAACATGAAATAGAGGATGCAAGAGAACTTTATGGAGAACTGGACTTTAAACGGATAGGGGACACATGTTTACACAGATAGTAGTGAAAGTCTAGAACAAGCTACTCAGCCCTGTTGGCAAAACTAATACTGGAGTTTTTTATGAACAGCTGGATGAGATCCTTGGATCAATTAGTTAACATCCAAACATGATCTCGGTGCTCTTGTGTAATAATGACTTTAATATTTATGATATACTTTACATTTCAGGTGCTTCCTTATTGGTAATGACAATTTAAATTACTGTTTAATATACATATAATTTCCATTTAAACTTGCACTTTGTCATCTAGAACATGAGAATATGCATTATCTTATAGAGTCCTACCCTTAGTCTGAAATGTTTTATACCCCCCTAACCCCTAGAACCAGTACCAATTTTTAATTTTGTTTTCTTTGGTTAATATCTTTACTTGTTCCATTGTGTTTTCCAACCCCTATCCTTTAACCACCAGTTCAAACTTCCTACACCAGCACCGCCAACAACCAAAGAGGCAGTTAAGGTTATAACAACCTTCCCAGCATCCACCTTGGCGCTTACATCCTTACCACCTACAACGGTGCCCACAACGGTTCCACTGACAACCACCATGATAACAACTGAGGTTACGACGACAACTACTGAAAAACCCACTACCACAACGGAGCCTACAACCATCCCCACAACCCCAGAAATAACCACCTTGCCTACAACCCTGCCTACCACCCACGTGTCAACTACAGCCTCGATTACCTCTTTGCCCACCACCATTATTGAGACCACCACACCACCTGCTAAAGTCACAACGCCTCTGAAGGAGGAGACGACAGAGGAGGAAGTCCTGGTCACTGTGGACTACGCCATTCCTTTGACAACAAGCTTACCAGAGATGACCTTCGTGACAGAAGCACCGACCACAATTCGGCTGATGGTTGCTGTGCAGCCAGTTGCCACAAACCCCTTAACCACTCCAGTTCCGCCCACTGTCCCACCTATCACAGAGTCTGTGACAGACACTCCCACCCCTGTGAGCAGCACAGAGCAGCTGGACAACTCCCACTCTATAGCTGAACCTCCATTCGTTCCTCTGCCCTCGGCCGTGACTCCACAGGGCTCCGATGACACCTTCTCCTTAGAAGTCCCTGCTGACTCAGACACTGATTTTGAGCTCACTGTCACAGAAACGTCACCTACCACACTCTCTGACAGTAAAGTGGACAGTGGCATGGAGACGATGTACTGGCCAGAGACGCTGGAGAATGACACAGCCACGTTTTCTGCCACCACTGTCCTGTCCGGAGATGGTGATGCTGAAAGCATTTCCCCAGCCTTTCCTCGCTTGCTGGACTCTGACACAGAGCTTGATTACCAGTATGAATCACCTGAGTTCTACTTGCAGGTGAGTCCAAGCCTCCTAGAAGTCAGGTCCAAACCTCGCCCCCAGTCTTTCCTACGATTTTTCCAAGATATTTGTCTCCTGTCTGTGTTTTCTGTGTTTCGTTATTATTTCATTGTCAATGTTTCTTATGACTGTAAGGAAAAATAAATCCTATTATTTCGTATGTACATGCACAGAAAGCTGCACAAAAGGTTTTAAAAAAAAAACCTTGGCCCATATAAGGAAACATCAGGCTTAATTTGATTTTCTAAGGCATAAACAAATCTGATGATGCTGACTCAAAATCCAGTTGTACTGTTTTAATTAAATTGTTCTGCTGTAATGTGAATTCATCAGCACAACAACATGGTTATTTTCAGTTTGAATATTTTGAATAATGCTGGCACGTGTTCTTCAGTTATAGTCGTGATAATGAATATTTATTTCAGTAATTTATTGTAAACATCTTTGGTTTTTGTTTTTGTTTTTTAAAAAAAAACCTCACTACATATCCTAACTTTCTAAAGCAGCAACAAGCCAAAGACTTTTTTTCCAACCAGAGTTGTGCAAAAGCAGTGTGTTTTTCAGTAGATTTTTGTTTACAAAAAAACATTTATTTTCTTTACCACATGAAGATTTTAGCTTCTTTCCAGGTGAGGATTTATTACTCCCTAATGAGTATAAAAACGAAAACTAGGTATCAAGCCTCCTTCTGTTATTGCTACTTCTATAATTGTTAAGCTTATCCCGTGGCAGCTACAGTATATGTATGCTTATTGTTTAACAAACCATAATTATCAATAGGCTGATGTTCCCCTGGGATGAAACTCACTTGACTGTGATGTTGCCTTAGCATTTATTAAATAAATGGCACTGTGAGGTTTTGAAACCTTGCATAATGTCTGATACAAATACAATACTTAAGTAGGGACCAAGGTTAGCACTGCCTAGTTCAAACATACTAATTGGAAGAAAAGTTAGATCTAGAGCTGCAAAGTCAGATCTTCGATTGGCTTTGAGTCATCTTCTTCTTAACACTGTGAGCATCAACCTGTAGAGAAATGCTGCTCTTGCTGGCAGTACTGCAAGTTTGCAGCATACCAGCAAAACGCAGAGGTCATTCTTGGGTGGTCAGGTACAGACAGGTACAGTTCACCCTAGTTAACTGAAGCTTTCCTGTGGAATCCCACTTGCAGTTGGTGAAGTGTGAATTAGGAGTTGAGTTGAGTTTCTGTGTTGGTTGACACACTGGAGATCCCCTTTCTCCTGAGGTTGTATTCCCATTGAGGTATCTAGATCAAAATTCATACCTAAGTATTCATGCTTTGTAGATCTTATACATTTGTTTTGCTAAAATATGTTCATGGCCAAGAAAAGAGCTGACTTGAAATGAACCTTAGATCACTTAGATAACTTATACAGTGTTATACAGTATATAAAGAATTTGTATAATTCTGTGTAATTCAAACTGGATGTGTGTGAAAGCACAACAGCAGCTTGGCCAGAACTGGGTATGGTAACAAGTCAAACAGTGGATGGCACCATGGTGTCAGTTTTATGTGTGCAGGCCCTCTCTGTGAGATGCCTTCGGGTGTCTAGATATAAATTTAGATATCTGTTAATTCTTTATAGTTGGTATATAGTTTATAAAGGTGTCCATAATTCTGGTGTAATTTATGAGTGACTTAATGTACTTGTTAATTTGTATTCAATGGATTTAAAGAGACAGTGCTCATTTATCAATGTTATTCCATCCTGAATAGCTGAGTATTAGAAAGTATTACCTGATATTCTGATTTGGATTACATCATAACTGTTTTGTGATCTATGGATAGATATTCCAAACATACTGCTGTTTCAACAAAATGCAGTGGTGTAATTCATGTCTCACTGGAGCTGGAAAGGTGACGATGTTCTGGCTTGTGAAATTCCTGAATGCTTCTGAGACTTTCATGTCCTGCCATGCGAGACCGTTTCATGAGTGCTGGTTTGAACGCAGGGGGATGAGGGGTCGCAGGCGAGCTGGGGCCCGGCGGCCTGTCCGTGTGTGGAGATGATCCAGGGTTCGACGCTGGTGCCTGTGAATGTGGAGAGGAAGATCACGGTGGTGGGGAAGAACCTTAATCTCTTCCAGGTACTTGCCTTGTACTGAAGAACGGCAGGCAGTTTCATTCGTAGTATCCCACTGCAGCCTCGCCCTATCAAAACGTGAACATTCTTCTTCCCCGCAAAACGCCGTGGGGTTATTCAGTTTGTCTGTAAATCTTCTGGGCTTGTAGCACAGCCTTCTGTTAATAATGAGGAGTATGTTTGTCCTATAAAGTTATTCTTTGTAAGTTTCTGTGTAAGAAATGTTGACTTGTACAGTGATTTTGAAGGTACGCAGCTTCGACTTACCATCCTGGTCCAATAGTCTCCCCCAGCACTTGACAAAACAGAAGAGGTTTTAATTTCATCCTTTAGTATAACGGTATATCGATTCCTGTGTGGCAGCATTACAATAGAGTATAATCAGAATTGCCAGCTCTCAGATTAGAATGCTTTGGAATAGTGTTTAAAGTTGTCTTGATTACAGACAGAGTAAAGATAATTAGCTTTAATAAATTTGATTTGTTGCCTTGGCGTTGATTATATCTTTTAGGATTTAACCCACGGATCAGTATGTGGATCGGGGTTAGTTATCTGACACTTTTGTTTCAAAAGAAGACGCATTTATTCACTTCAGAAACTGCTTTTGTTTTATCCAAGATAGTTCCACTAGTAGATTAGTTCTTACTAGTATCCTCTTGGTATATCCCATACACTCTAATTGATCTTTTTCTTCCAGTATATTTTAAAATACATTTAAACTTAACCAAAAGCATTGAATTCACACCCCTGGGCCTGAGTGACAGTGCTGTGGTTATGTTGTTTTGCAGGATCAGGAGCTGGGGTATGAATGCGTGTTGATTATTGAAGGGCGCACAGTTGTGGTGGACACATATGTTGAAACTGATGAGATGGACTCCTCAATATACTACATTACTTGCCAGCTGCATAAGGTAAGGCTGTTCTGTCTCCCTTTTTCATTGAGACCTTTTAATTGGTTCTTTGTAACGATTATTTTTAATACCAATTTTAGCAAGAAATCTAAAGCCGTCCCTTTCTGTTTGTTGCCATTCTTAATCTGTTTGCTAATGAGCGGCTGTTACTGTTTTCATAAAGCTGTTTTTTCTTCACGATTCTTGAGGAAGAGTATCCAGAACACGTACTGTATTAGCTTCTTTTTATATCCAGATGCACCTTTTTTTCTCTCTTATTCCACTGATGTACTGTATACAATTACCATGCATATGAGATGCTTCTTAAGTAAAATGGGTTAGATGGACCCAGAAGACTTTTCTCCTTTTAGAATGTTTTAAACAGTCTTACATGAAAATGTTTTAAGAGTACCGTTGATAATTTGCTCAGATTTGATTCCCTCATTATTGCAGTACTCCTACTCTGCCCTCCTGGAAGAATATAGAGCGATGGTCTCCATCAAAAGAAGAGACACTTTCCATGTGGACAGTTCTCAGGACCTCTATGGTGAATGGCTGTTTCGTTCATTAATACTGTTTTGCTTCTTCTCCAGCCTTGACCTTGAGATGTGTATAATGTGACATGGTGATACAACTGTAACTCGTGTACTGGGTGGCAGTAAAATATTGTATTTATGATTGCCCGCTCTGGTCATCTATGTCAGGATTAAGTAGATGTTACATTTGTAGTTGACATATCTGCACTTGATAAAGGAAATCACTCAAGCACACTTGAATTGGACTTGAATTTAAATTCAGTTTAATTGTTACCCAACTCCAAGAAACAAAAAACCCCAACAAATTACAATAAATGGATTCTGTGGACTCTAAAAGCCACACTAGGATGTTTAGCTTGTAAAAGGCTTACAGATACTTCCATACTTACTTTCCCTTATTTGGCCCACTGTAACTGTTTGTGTGCTGTCTTGCAGTGACTCTTTATAACTGCTCAGTGGGGCGTTCAGACTGCAGTCGGTGCCACACGGCCGACCACAAGTATGGCTGTGTGTGGTGTGGAGGCTCCCAGTCCAGCTGCCTCTACAGGGAATCCTGCACTGACGAGATAGAACAGACCTGCCCAGCTCCCGTCATTCATTTTGTGAGTCCTGCCTCACTGACTACAAGTGTATTTTATATTCCTGACCTTATTTACAGGGGAACTGCAGTCCCAGCTTCTCAGACCAGTTATTAAACCTCTGGTATAAAAATAAATTCATTGACGTTGACGTTAGCACAAATTGTGACCTGATGTGGCCCTTCCTGCTCACCAGTCACTGTAATGACTAATGCACTGAGATGTACGAGCGAGTAAGTACAGCTTGAGCAGCAGACATTTCACTGCAGGACTATTCTGCGTATATCTGCATGCAGAGTTAACAAGTAAGTACTATTTGTCGTCGCAAACCGAGAACAATATTTCTGTTGGATTAAAAAATGTATTCACAAGCCTGGTTGTCTACAATCACCACTTCACATCACCAGTTGTTTTGTTGCCTCTTTCTGAATCACAGAATATGGCGCTGCCCATACCTGAAAATTTAATCTATTTTGTAATGTAAATTGGAGGTTTTACAAGTTAGCATGTACATTTTACTTTTATTGTGTTTGAAATGCACTCATCAATGCTGATTCTTTCTAACCCCAAAATATAAAAATATCATTGCAGTTCCCCTTTAACAGCAGACTTTCTGCTGGTCCTCATTCTCAGAATGGAATTCGGTTGAAGTTCCCACATATATTCCCCATTTGAAAACCACCATCTAAATTGTGTTCCTTTAGATGCAGTCCATTAATTGTTGGGTACTTACAATATTGAGGAACATGACCTACCCTAAAGCACAACACCGTTTTGACTGTTTTCTTGTTGGAAAAAAATGGAATCCTTGCTGCTGTACTAATGTCTCAGCTGGAGAGCTGAATGATTATTTCCCTAAAGTGAGAGAAGTAAAGAGGTCTTTTTTCTTCACAAAGCATAATGAGCTCCATTTAAAAGCAAAAGTACCTTTTAATTGCATGGAATTAGAACTGAAAAAAACAATTAGAACCCAAACAGTGTTCTTCACAGAGCTGTGGGACCAGAAGAAAAGATTACATTCTCAAGTAGGTTTTCTTTATGTGCATTCCTAATTATTCAGAACATTCTCGTCGGGGTTCTGTAAACATGGCATGTACACCAAATTTTAATAAGCAAAGCAGCATAGATATAGTCTATCTGAACAGAACTATAATTAAGCAAGTTATGAAAAAAATGCTCTGGATTATACTTCAGTGAAAACTTCATGCATATAGTTCTCATTCTAATATTTTGAAAATGTAGTCACAGAAACCACAGTTTAAGCAGTTATAATTATTTCTGAGAAATACATAGAATTATTGACAACTGTAGTAGTTGTGGTAGTATTATAGGTGTGTTCTTTTAATAAAGTACATCCGTTGCTCTACCAGCTCCAAGCTCTATAAGGCTAATCCTCCAAAATAAATAATAAGTATTCACGTCCCTCACAAATACTAAAGGACTCTTTTTTTTTCCAGATGCCTTTTAAACAGCAGTATAAACCTTTGCAAAAATGCAAAAATAGCTCTTTAAGAATTGGACTCTGATTTATCAGATAAATTCTTGTTATAAAATTAGTATTGGGGTGTTTGCTGAGCAGACTAGACAGCATAATATTTGTTGCCAGATATGTTATATACTTTTATAAATATTTGATATGAACCTGTAATCACTTTTAAAGTCAGTCATTTATTTCCTATTTTATGAGTCTGTGTGTATGTAGAAGTGACTGGTGGTATTAATTGCCTTTGATTGATGACAACATTTGAGATGGAATAATAGTGTTTCTGTTTTGTACTTTACCAGTCGTTTTATGAAAGTGGCAGATGACCATAAATATATCGCAATTGCTTTATAGTGCTCTGCATTATGCTGACTATAGAGTTCAACATAATGGCACCATTTTATCTCATTTATTGTAACTAACATGTTTTCTTGATCTTCCAGAGCATGGCTGGAGTACAATAATGTGTTCACTGCTAATATTTAATGTTGTTCCACACAGGGAAGAATGAGTTATTTAAGTTAATATTTTACAGCTTCCTAGTGGAGATTCAGTTCCATTCATGGGGCAGTTTAAGGCCAAATCTTTGGATTATTTGGGAAATCTTATTTAAACTGATTTCACATGCTGCAGTTTTCAACATTCAAATGGTGTTATTCCCTTTATAAAATAAAAGTAATCTAGCCCAGAGTTTTTTTTTACATTTATATCCTTAATAATAATGTTCAAACTAAATAATGACTATAGTTTGCATGAGTGTGAAGGCTAAAATGCTTGTACATTTACTTGCTTCAGTCGCAACAAAGCTGTTTTTATCTTGAATTGTATGGTTTTTAAACTTCCATCTTTAGGTTTTAGTATCATTACTTATCATTACTTATTTAGGTTGAAATAATGAATGAATTAAACACATGTAAGTTTGGGTTACCATATTTGATTACAATCAGATAGTGGTGCTTAAAGAGCAAATGGTGGAATTAAAAAAATACCTTCACGTGTTGTTATAGCTGTTTAAATAGAATACCACCAATTATTTCTGTCAGCAGTTACAATCCTGACCACTTTCTATTACAGTAAAATGCTAAGTCTATATTAATGTTTCAATTGTTCTATTATGCAGTCTGCATGTAGAGAAGATTATATTCTCCCAGTATGGGTATTCTCTTAAATTCATAGTAAAGTTAGAAAAATCGTATATATGTCTTTACTGACAATAATATAAAAATGGTTACAGATGTTACCATATCTCTTTCACCCCATCATTCTCATTTCTATATTAGTGTCTTAGTGACCAAGTAATCTTATCCAGCCATTTCCTTAAGGATCCCAATGAGTCATCTAGTTTGTTTCAGACACTGGTGATGCTATATGGAGAAGTGCCTCCACTTTTCAGTACTTATTTCATTTTACTTTGAAAACATTGAAGAAGGGTTATTTTTTTCAGTATTTAGTATATAGATTTACATGAAGCGCTAATCTTCTGTCATCAGGATTAAAGAGGTTCTTCTCCTTTAAC